CTGCTTGACTTGCTAAAATTGTTCAGTTTTCTATCACTGAAAAACAAAATTGAGGGTTTTTTGATGGTTGGGGGGAGAAGGAGGGGGAGGGTTAATGGTTTTCATTCATCAAAATGTTACTTTGGTGTTCAGGCTTTCTGGGTTGCAACAGAAACCTCTGAAAACTGCTCAAAATTTTCTGCAAAAAATCTGAATTTTTAATGGAAAAAAATATTTTCCTGCCCATATTTGCAAGAATGCCCATTTCAAACCCATGGAATAGGAATAACCAGTATCTTTTGGGAAATCAGTTCCCATTTCTTTTCTTTTTTTTTTTTTTAACCTGTTTTAGCCCAAAGTGGCTAAGCACTCTTGAAAAGCAGGCCAAAGGTATGAGGCACCATGCTCTTGTCAAAACTGTCAGAAACATTTTCCCTATGTGTAGATAACAGGGATAGCGTGTTCATAGAAGCCATTAAGAGTTAAATGAGCCCCGCGGTATTATTTTATTTTATTTTTTTGTCCTTCAGCATCATGTAGGGACCCTAAACCAGATCTCCATGAAGTTAGGAACTGGCTTTACCATGATCTTTTCCAGATCTGCAATGCATAGCGCACCCATTCTGCAAAAAGCTTACCTAGCATCTTTCCCAATGATACAGTTAGTCCAATAAACAGCATCACAGAAAAACCCTTGCTTCTCACACATTTCCAGAACCATCACGGCTACAAAGATACTCCAACGATATGGTTTATATGCACACATGTTCCATAACACGATTCGCTTTGAGTGCAACACGGCAGGGGGCTGGACCCGATGATCTTGCGAGGTCCCTTCCAGGCCTAATGTCTGTGAAATCTATGAACTATTTGCTCTTCCTGTTGCACATGAAAATGTGGAATATCTTTCATGGGGTTTGATTAGGACCCAATGTTGGATGGGCTTGCATGCACATACCACCTTATGTGTTGAATCGTAACTGCCCCAGCAAGAATCATAAGCCTGATACCAAGAGCTAGTGATGATTGTCCTTTCAGCCTAATTGGTGCCCTAATTGGGGTTGGGGCGGAGGTGCCTGCAATTTACCTCTGTCACTAAGAGAGTTCATTTTAAGTGAGCATCCATAGGACCCCTGGGCAGCCTTGGACTTTGTACAGCCCTTTTGCCTGGGGATTTCAAAGCTCTTTCTACAGCATAAGCCATGAATCCTGGCCCTGGTGTGGCGGCAGGAGGAGGTGAGCTGACTTCTGCCCCCTGCACACCCTGCTGCCACTCTCTATGATCAGCCTGATGCTTATCACTCATCTCTGGGAAAGAACATTAGGACCAGACTGAAACAAGAGGGGCTGCCTGCCCATCCCTAACCCTCGGTGCTGAGCCAGAGAGAGTCGCCCTCCGTCCTCCTGATCAGCAAAAGCCCCCGCAGGCACCAGCTCAACACTCCTTTAAATCGTGCTACAGTCTGATAAGCATTTGTGAGCCTTTAAAATGATAATTGCGCAGTACGGGGTAAAGCATAACAGTGGTGGTGTGAATATTCATGAGCTGGGGACCAGCAATGTTACTGCTTTCAAAGGGAAGCCAATGGCACACCTCTGATAGCAGTCGCAGCAGGAACCAAACAAGCCAAAGCGGCATCTCCTCCCCAAAGCATGTTGGGAAATATTATTATTGCAGAGTCATTAATTTGTGTTTTTGTTCCCTATTAGCACTGCCTGATCTCCTCATTAGCATTGTTACTCCCAGGGCTTATGGTGCAGAGAAACCGAACACTGGCAAACATCATCAGGGCTGGCTGTGAAAAGATTTGCGAGAGCCTGGGAAGCGGCGAGGCTGTCTTCTCATCACCTGTGCAGTGCAACCTGTAAACATCAGGGCAATCTCTATTCATGTCTGGGAGAAGTAGGAAAAGCTACTAACTCCTAGGTTCCAGCTGAAGGGACTAAGAGCCAGGATGCATCAGATGCCCAAAGCAACTCTGCTGACTTCAGTGGCACTGATGAAAATGCACGCAAAACCAGGATGCGCCTCTCGGGCAAGGCCACCTCTGGCTGCAGGGGGCAGAGGCAAAAATACATGCCAGCACCCTCCCTTCCTTTCACAAGAGCATCTTCCCATGAAGCAAAGCAAAGCATTCAGCACACGCTAAAAGCAGGCTGCTCAGCATGGGGCAGGCAGGCCTGTTGCAGCAGCCAACCTTGCCAGGACTGTTTTCAAGGGCTATTAGCAGCTCTGACATCCATGGAGAAAAGGGGATGTGGAATCAATTATCCTAAACCTTGCAACAAGAGCCCTCCGGGAGCCTGCAGTCAAGCGGCGGGATTACCAAAGGGACAGCCACATGCCACACTGGCCCAGAAGCCTGAAGAATGTATTTTAAAGATAGTTTAATTAGCCTGATTTATGTCGCTTTCCATCGATCGGGTCCCCGGCACTTCAGAAATCTATCAGAAGGAAAACGGACAGCATCGATTGGGTCCAGACCCTGCGCTGGAATAACATCGACTCGCGCTATATTTAATAAGCAAATAGCTCTGTCATAAATATAACCAGAAGAGACGCAGGGATGGGGCGATGGCCTAGTCTGGTAGGATGCTTTGTGCACGGCTGTGCTGGGAGAGGCCTTGAGTCTGGGCTGGATCAGAGTGGTAGCCAGGGACAATGCTCTCACCATCTCAAGGCCAGATCTCCCAAAAGCTGCGCTGACATCGAGAATGCCAGCAGCACTTAAGGCAGGGAAACGGCTGTCAACAAGAGCGTGGGCTGAAATGTCAGTGCCTGCATTTGAGTGCATCCTTCCTCCACAAGAGTCCCAGTGAAATCCCAATCAAACAAGACAACCAAAGATAGTGTTTCCCCCTGCTGCTCAGTGCTAAGATAGACTTTGAAGGAGCTGGTCCCAAAAGAAAAACTGGGGGGTACAGGGGAGAGCATTTCCCAGCCACAAAGGAGAATGCTCGCAACTCCCATGACAAATCACAGCCAGCTGGGATTTTGCCTTTCCTTTAGTTTCAGTGCAAGTTGGCTACCAGCCTGCCCTTTGCATCTTTCCAAAATCTCCCACCAGTTCATTTCCATTTGAAAGTCCTTCTCCGATCTACCAACCCCAGGCTAATAAAACTGAGTCGTGTCTCATGGCACAGGCAGTCTGTTTGCTTTTCATCTGCATTTCATCTGGTTGCTGTCGTGAAACACGACATGGTGGTTTCTCTCATTTGTGGGGTCTCAAGCCAGTTCTGATTTTGTTTTCCATGTACTCAGCCAGCACCACTGTGCCTGGGCTTTCAACAAAGCCAGGAAGTGTTGCACAATACACAGCAGATTCACTTGGTGTAAATCAACGTAGCAATATTGACTTCAGCAGAATGATGCTAATTTATACCAGCCAAGGATCAATTACTCTCTGCCTCTCTACTTATCTACCCACCTTTCTTGTACATACTCCATGGATCTTGACAAAAAATCCTGACAATTTGTTTTTGTATTAATTTGTGATATTACTTTCTTTTTTTTTTTAAACCCATAATTGGGTGTGAAGCAGACGGATGCACATTTAGGCTACTAGGACCATATCACAGTGGTCTTGCACCTTGTACGGACATTTTATGTACAGCAAAATAAGTTTGGAGTTGGTATAAAAGCCTGCAATTATACTGGCATAAGGAACATGTAACAGGGGGGCCTTCTCGGGGCCCATCTACCAATGGACCTGCCCACCTGTTCTGGGCCAACCACCCGCCTTCTCGCCTGCCATGCCTTGTTGTTAATTAATTAATGATCTTAATTAGGCAGGAGGCTGCCCATTTTCTTGCCCCAATGCCAGGGGGCGCTATCTGTGGCTCTGTACCTCCCCAACACTGCAGCCCATGCCTTGCAAATGGCATCCATAGTTCTTATAGTCACCGGCCCCATGCTGGGCCACAGACTTCTCCAATCAGGACCCCTCTAAGATCCCTCTATTCCAGCAGCCTACCCTACCTTCATTCAGGCTACCTAGCTCCTTGAAACTATTTTCCCCCCTCAGGACCTTTGGCCATACAGGCCCTGGCCTCATCTCCCAGGCCAGTCGGAAACCCCAGGCCTTCAGCTCTGGGTGTCCCTTGTGGTGGGCCCCTGGCCCTTTTGACCGTCCAGTCCTGGCCCCAGCATTGAGCAGTCAAGGGTACTCTCTCCATCAGGTCTCCGAGTCTCTAACCCCACTCTATCTCCTGGGGTCTGCCCTCTGCCAGTCCTGGCCCCAGCATTGAGCAGTCAAGGGTACTCTCTCCATCAGGTCTCCGAGTCTCTAACCCCACTCTATCTCCTGGGGTCTGCCCTCTGGGCCCTGGTAGCAGGTGACCCACCTGGTTGCGGGGACTAGGGTTAAGGTGCCCTGACCTGCCTTTCACCAGGGTGGTAACTGGCCTGGCATTTCCTGGGGGCTCCCACACCACTGAGAGCCCCACCAAGCCACCCACTCCTGACAGGGTGTAGTTTTAGGTCATGCCCAGGACCAAGGAGCCTCCTAGTCATCCCCTACAGCTCCTCCCTTACCTCCAGGTTGTTACAAGGAGCCTTGCAGCCAAGCGATGTTGCTGCCTGGGCTGCCAGCAGGGAACTGATCTGTTTATATAGGCAGCCAGGGATCTAACATGGCTGCCGCAATCAAGCACCTGCTGGCTGCTTGGTTCAGGTCTTAAAGTGGCAGGCACCAACAGTGCCCTGCCACAGAGCATAACATCTAATACTCAGGAGACCTGGGTTTTACTCTTTGCTTTGCTTCCAGTCTGTGGTGCTGAACAAATTGTTTCGCTGTCTTCTTCCAGCTGTCATCGGACCTGTCTCTATGTAGGAAGCCATTTGAGGCAGGGACTGCTTTTATAGTGGCAACTACAATGGGTTCCCAAATGAGTGAAGGCTGTTAGATACTATCATCATTTTTTTTACCCACTTCACGCATGTGTATTTGATGACCCAAGGGACAAGAGAGTGGAAAATCAGAACCACACTGAATGTAATAGCAGTTGGGAGTTCTCATTACCTGCTGTGAAGAATTAAACATCTTGCTGGATTGGACCCTCAGGATGGTTCCCCAGGGGGCTTCAGGGTGCAGGGCACATAGGCCACATACCAGCAGGAAAAAAGGAAGGCCAGTTCAGCTGGATTCAATGCCAGGAACTTGGCCTAATCTGGGGAAATAAGAAAACGATTAAGGATATATGCCCTCCAAGAGAGCAGCAGGCATTCAGCCTTCGCCCAGGTTCCAATCACATTCCTCAGCACAGAGGTTGTTGGAGAGGTTTGTTTTTTTCCCTCCCAGTTCTAATAAAAATTAAGTGAAACAAAATGAAAGCAAAAATCTTGCAAGGCAAGAACAGAGCAGGCAAGTAGCTTGTGGCTCTTGAAAAATTATTCACTAATTGTGCAAAGAGTTGTGTGCACAAATCGGACTAATAAACTAGATTTAATTTGACACTGGAAAGCGAGCAAGCGGGGAACAAGGAGGCGGGATGGAGCTGAAGTGCTAATAGGCTCCGCTGGTGCCTTGACTCAGCCCTCTGGAAAGTACTTCTCAGCAAATGCGGAATTGCATCTATTGACATTGGGGACTGCATTCTGTATGAATTACCCAGGATTGCACAACCACCTGCTTTCCCAGGGAAGTGACCAGAGCCATTATGGGTATTGCTGTTATCCGAGCTGGAGAGCCATGGGGGTACATGGAGAAGGCAAGAGCACACAATGCTGTGGGATCTTCTCTATCAAAACCAGCACTCTCACTTCAATAGGGAAGTTTTGTGCCACTAGTGGAGATGTCACCCAGGGCATTTTTGCTGCTATGACCTACATTAGCATCTGTACCTTTGCTGAAACATAACACTAGTTTGGCTAGGATTGATGAGACCCTACTGGAAATACACATGATCCATTAAATGTAGGCATCAAAATCCAGTTCAGAGTCCTCTGGCTCAAAAGCCCATTAAAGCCCCTGATGATCCCAGGGACAGCAATAACCAATTGACACCTATCTTCATCTAATACCCTTCACCAGTTGACCTCAAACCCCTTTGCAAAAGAGGGCAGTATCATTTACCCCTGTTTTACAGCTTGGGCAACTGAGGCACAGAGCAATAATGTGACATACCCAAGGTCACCCAACATGCAATGAAAGTGCTGGGATGAGGCTCCCCATTTCCTGTGCCCCTGTAAACTGCTCTGTTGGCTAGGTCACACCAGATGCATCGTACAGAACAGAACGGAGAAGGTAGGCCAGAGGTAAGCGTGAGGCCTGTGCGTGCACAACTTCTTACCTGTTGATCCCAAAGGCTGGGAATCATCATCATCACTGGGTCTCTCATTGCATCACCTTCTGGATCCGAGGATCCCCTCTCTTTCCAACCTCCTTTCTAACCACCTTCCAAAGGCCCTCACTTCACAGTGGGTTCCACAACTCCGAGCTTAATGTCTCATGCCTAAAATGCATGGACATCCATGTAACATAAATTATGCTCCCACAGTCCTGCCACAATCTGTTCTGAGATCAGTGACAAACCCTGCCTAGATGTGTGACTGGAGCTGGGCTCCTCCATGGTTGTTCTCAAGCCCTGGTTTGGAACAAGAACAGAAAGCCTCTAGGCTGGACCCCAGGAGAGAAAATCCCAAATCCCTCTATATCTGGGTTTTCATCAGATGGTTGCTCCGACAGGATTTTATTTATCAAGCCTTCCCACTTTCATCTTTTGTTTTAAATCCTCAGGTATCTGTGGTTGCCCAGACTTGAGGAGGACAGTATACGAGACAGTGGAGAGCTTGGGCTCCGTTCTCTCTGCCCTGCCCTGCCCTGCCCTGCCGGCAGTGGCAGAGGTTCAGTCCTGAAGAACACAGCTATGTCTTCTTCCCAAAACATCTATGGCCCCTTCCCCTCCTCACATGCAGAACCAGCACCTTCAGCTCTTTTTTTACCCACAAATGAACTGACTGATGCATCTAAGACCAACTCTGTATTTCCCCTCCATAAGTAGTAATCCTCACCATAAGCTTGACACAACGGCTCCAGTTTTGGCAGAGAAAATCACAGGTCAATCCCAGTGACAGCAATAACAAAGTGGTTAATGCAGAGCTAGCATGACCCTTGGGAAAAAAATGCCTCTCGCTGCATGCTGGGGCATGTACTACCCACCACAGCAGTGATGCACACTGGCTGACATGCTTCCCTGTGCCCATCCACGCATGCATGCTCTCCCACACTTGCATGCACCTGTTCAAGCCCATACACATGTGGTCTCCCACCCCTGCACACACAAACACTTGACAAGCACAAACGTTCATCCCGTCACATGTGCCCACGTGTACTCACATACACAGACTTGAAAACCTAACCAAAGTTCCCTGCAGAAAATGAGCTGAGCATGGACTGCTGGAGATGGAGAATCTGGCAGTCATGGCAGCAACCTTGGGAGTTTCCCCTTTTACAAAGGCAAATTGTTCTTTCCATTTACCAAATAAACCTCCTTTGCCACCTTGCTCCCTGGACTGAATTCATGTGCAGCAGTAGGTAGAAACTTGAAATACCTTTGTTAATAACTGACAGTTATAATCCCCCCCTCCTCTTACCCCTTAATTGGTGTCTACTGCAATAAACAGGAAACACTTTGGATCTGGATATTGGGGCTCAGCAGTGGGTTAAATACATCTGAGCTGTACTGATGATATGTGCAAGGCAAGATAGAGCCTTCCCCCTTCACAGGCACTGCATGAAAATCACCTCGGTGGTGGGCACCACTTTTATTTTATTTAGTTCCTGAAAGTTAACTCACCTGGGAGTGAATTGCACTCTCAGTCACCACAATCTTCCCCCAGCAAGAGGTGGGCACAGGGTAAAACCTGGAAGAGACTCTCGCTGCACTGGTCCCTTCTTGCTGAAGTCTTGGTCAGGTACAGAGTAGGGATGTTCCTGAGTGTCTGAGAAGCCCATACGCATCCTAAGCACAGTACATGCTTTGTTAATGGAAAGAAATCCCCACTAGGTCTCGGCAACACAAGGCCACAAGGAGGGAAAGAGCATGCTCCCAGCATCTCACCAGCCTTGAAACATGGAGTCTGATTTGGCCCTAGCTGCAGTTCCCCCTGAATTCAAAAGGATGGATTTGGCCCGGGGAATGCCAGCATCTGCTTCTATTTCTGTAGCCATGCAGAACAGGAATTCACTGATCTTATAACAACTATATAAGGTACAGGCTGGATGTGTGCATCTCTGCTGACAGATCACTAACAAGGCTTTGCTGGCATAGACCTTGACAAGTCAGTTCCAGAAATGAGGCTGGAGACTTGGCTAATATTGCCAGCTGGGATAGACTTCAGAAAGGAATTCCTGAGCTACGGCTGGCACCCGAATCTCTGGTTTGTCCCATATGCGAGCAGCAGGGACGAGACCTGGCTGCTAGCAGGTAGGTGGGGAAGAAATGCTAGGGTGTTTTCAGGCTGAGTATAATATAATGGGCTGGTCCTCCTTGGAGTAGGGAATTGGACTAGATGGCTGGAGACAGACATTACACGTAAGCTGGTTTAAATGATCAGAAACTGGTTTAAACCTGTAACAGAACAGACATTTGATGCACATAAACCAGTTTGAAAATGTCTGAAACTGGGTTGAGATAAACCTGGTTGAATGTAGTATCAGACTTAACTGATTTGGCTCATGCCGGTTTATGCAATGTCTGTCCCAGACCCCTTGCTGATTTAAGTTAAAACAGACTCCCTCAGCATCTTGGCATGCTCTCTGGGCTGGACAGAGCTCTGCTCCAGTGAGCTGGGCTGCCCGTGGCCAGATGTTGGCCTGCCATGGCCCCTGAGGCAAATTCCTCCCTCAATCCCCTTTCCACCACCCCCGCTGGCAAACCCTGTGGACCACAACTGGGGTTTGCCAGCCCCAGCTGCACCTCCACGGCTTGCCTGCAGCCAGGCAGGGGCACAGTGAATTCCTTCCTCTGTTCCCTCTCTCCCCAGGAACCCCTGGGGGTTTGGCTGCAGTCTCTATGGCTTGCCTGAAGTCAGGCAGGGATGCACCTGTGAGCCAAGTATTAGGGTAACAGTATTTGGATCTTAGGGAGCATTGGATTTTGCAGCTGAATAAACAGCTATAACCTGTGGCCTAGCAAAGCTGCTAACCACAAGACAGAATGGTATGTTAAAAGTAACATTGCAAGACACTTAGGCACACATTTTCCTAACAATATAGTAGTGTTGTAAGATATATAGCTCATTGTGTAAAAAGAACAGGATGCAAACCACTGGCTATCGTTAGAAGATAAAGCAGATTTTGCTTATGAATGCTCATGCTGAGCAAGCCATTTGCTTATGCTAAGTAGCCATCTTAACTGTGTCAACCATTTTCAAGCGAGTCTGTGTAAGTCTGTGTGATGTGAATGAGGTGAAGTCTTAGGAACGTGAAGATGGTACAACCTGGGACCGAAAAACTGACTGGAATGTGAAAGACAACACGGATTCTGTTACCAGTTACGAGATCGACATATGCAAAAAGGTGAATGGTGATTGGTAAAGAAGCCTCCAGAAGCTTCCACGCTTTGGTCGAAGTCCACTCAAGTCACCAAAAGAAGCAGGGGTCAAGGTCTTAGGCATGTGCTCATAGCAAAAAGACATGTAAATAAGTGAAATACATAGGCAATTCCATGCTAACGAAACAAACAGTAAACAGAGGTGGAGCTTAAAATGGGAAGGACTAAGGGTGGAACAAAGGAGGGACAAAGGAGAAGTAAATGTTAATGAGCATAAACCAAGGTGTATAAATATGGAAACAACTAATGTTCGTGGCAACTCCCCAGTTTGTTGGAGCTGGCCCAAAGCTGTCTCCATTTTGAATAAAGCTGTTGACGAGCAATGTGTGCAGGTGATGAGTGATAGCATTGATCTGTTGTTTCCCTAGTCGTTGGGTGTCACATGGAGTTGGAGTCTAACCCCAAGAGCTAAGACCTACAGGACCAGACTGAGAGGTGGGAAGTGTTGGCAAAGACCTGACAATCATCCTGTGTGCTGGAGTTAAGGGAAGTTGCAGACAGCTTCACCCAAGAATGCAGAGAGCTACATTTACGTTATAAAGCAGAATGTGTAAAAGGTGGGAAGACCTAAACAAACCCTTTCTGAATGCCTGGCTGTAAGGAGACACTCTGCCCTCAGGATTCGTAAAACCAGTTCTTGTCTTCCTGGTTTATATTTTAAGTTAGATTAAGTTGTGTATGCTGTGTTTTACTGGGCTGTATCTTAGCTTAGGTGAAGATTTTTGGTAGTTCCCTGTTGTACGCTTTGCAAACTGGTGTGTTCGATACATGCTTGCTCCAGAGAAAGGACTTTTTCCCCTTCCCCACTCCTCAGTCTAGCAGCAGCTCTCTCTCCTTGCCCCCCACCCCCCAATTCCCCTCCGGGCTGGTGGCTGGCATCCCATATGTTGTGCTAGCCCTGGCTGGTGTTTGGCCCCACTCTGCTCCAGCTCCAGCAGGGAAGGGTGAGAGTCTTGGAGGGCATCTCTCTTCCCTCCCCTTTGGCAGTGGCTGGCAGGGATGGTCTCCCCCAGGTTCTGCCTTGAGCCACTGCAGGCATGTGGCTACATTTCCTGATTTAACAGAAAATGTCTGTCCAGTTGTTAAATTAGTTTAAGCTGCACAGCTTAGACTAACCTGCAAAGAGTGAATCAATTCAGGCTCTAGCTTTTTGAATGTCTGAGCCCAAGTCAATGTGACCTCCTGAGGTCCCTTCCAACCCTCATTTTCTATGACACTATGCATGGCTGGGTGGCAAAACCTCTCCAAAATCTATGCAAAGCCAGAATGTGCAGGGGCAAATGAAACAACAGTGGAAGCTCAGTAATAGCCTTTGTGTGTCTATAGAGTGGTGATCACTTGCAATCAAGGATGGTTAAGAAATCTCCTATCTATGGCGATGGGGCAAGCAGAGGCAGGTGATATGGTGACTTCAGTAGGGACACCCTCTCAGCACTAACCAGACCACTGGTACAGTAACATTTGTAACCCAAAATTAAGCACAATCTGCGTGCTTTTTATATTTTAACTCCATGGATACTTTTGTTTGCACTGGTAAGTGTCCAGGCCAATCCTGGCACCATTAACGCCATGCCCTTTGTACGAAGCCGGCACTAAAGATCAAAGCTCCTACCACAAGACAGCTGTTGTAACACTGGTTAGAAAAATACTGCTGACATGGTTTTCTGTCAAAAAAATGCCATTTCCATTGAACTGATTATTTTCCCACAAAAATTATGTAGATTTTGACATCATTATATTTAGCAAAGGAATTTTGAAAAGACTGAAATCTCCTGTTTTAATATTTTCAGAATGAAAAGACTGGATCTGGCAGTTCAAAACATCTGGATCTTAAACACTTCTGAAAAAATCTTTTCAGGAACAGAACAGAAAAATTACGTTCGGAGACAGGGAGAAGATCCTCCATTCACAATTTCAAAACAGTTACTAAAAAGGAGCCAAACGTTCCTTAGCTATGCATTTTGCTTTTATTTGAAAGCCTAACTTCATAATTATATTAACTTTATTCTCTGTTGGTTCAGGGTAAATGGCAGCTAATCAGAAGGTAATTCTTGTGCTATTTCTGTCTCCTAGACTAGAGCCTTATGGGAGAAACCTCAACTTACGTGGTGACTAATCTTTGAACCGTTTGATAACTTTAAATCTAATCACCAGGTGACCTACAGGGACGTGTAAAAATTGCTGTGTGTTTAGATAGCAATTACATTTATCTCCAGGGTAGTTAATTACATGCTTATTAGACCTGCTTTGTACAATAATGCCAGGCAAGTCACAGTCCCTTTTAAGCAAATCGGTCCAGAAATCCACAAGAAAATTTAAGCTGCTCAGGTTCAGGTAGTAGGACAAGTATTTCAAAATCAGGTTTGCCAAACTTCTCTGTGTTGCCATTGCTCAGTCACACCCACTGGTGACCAGACCTGACTGTCTTTAACTTCTGAAGTCACTGAGACAGAAATTTAGGGATAACCAAAGAAGTGAAAAAGCCAACTTTGAATCGTACACGCGCTCCACACCAGAGCATCACCTAGAGTCAACTATTGAAACAGAGCATCACCTAGAGTCAATTACTGCAGCTCCACTGATCTGGACCCTTCTCTGAAGATACATACCTATCATTTATCATTCGTATGACGGTAGCACAGAGATGCCCCAACCAAGATCATGCCCCCATTGTGCTTGGCACTGTACCAATTCATGGTGCTACATAAGACTGCCTTGAACCGCCTAGGACTAACACAGCCACCAAATACATCCTTGAAGTGCCTATGACTTCCATAGGCAACAGAGGTCAAGAAGAGGAGAAAGCAAGTACTATCAACCCTACTATGGAGAGGGAGGGCACAGAGATATTAAGGGCCAAGCTTTCCATACAGGGAGATCCACTGGTTGTTTCAGATCTCTCAGTGACCTGCTGAAGGTCATCCAGGAAGCCCGGCCAAGCCGAGAAGGGGACCTGGCTCTCATGCACACAGGATTCAAGAAACCACAACAGCAAAGCTAATTCTAAGTTTGTGCAGCTCCCATGTGCCTCTCCAGTCTGGCTGAGCCCTATTATTTTTCTGCTGCCTCTCTCTTTGACAGGACAGATGACATTTATATTTCCTGAAAGCTTCAATAAAAGGCACTTTAGCCACAATCACCTCGATCTCATTTCCAGTCAAACACAACCACCCCCCTCCTCCCAAATTAAAATAAGGGCCCAGGTCATTCTGACAGGCTGTCAGAGACATGGTCCTGTCCGATGGATATCTTGTTGTTGGAATCCAAGGACAAAAAATTTGCTAAATGGCTTGAAAAGGACATGAAGAGTGGCTGAGAGACAGTCACAGCTAAGTTGTTAACATGCCAGCCTGGGTGGTAATGTCCCAGGGATCGCTTAAAGGACAGATATCCTAGAGGGTCTCTCT